TGTGTGTCTGTGTGTGGTTATGCTCGAAGAGGAATTTGCATTTGTGAACGCCGTGTCCGGTAAATGGGGAAAAGTGATTTCTACAAATACTGGATTGAAATTCAATTTCGGTTTGAATTGCTCGGGAAAGTTTCCTTTGTAAAGCATGTTGGAAAGAAGAAACGGAAAACAGCAAACATGGAGCAAGAAGCGTTTTCAAAGTGAGGATTAATTTGTATTTACGTTACACTACTCAAGAATTCTTTATAAGAAAATGATCAAAGGACTAAAGGGAAATAAACCAAAGGCGGGAATTTCAAATATATATATATTTATTTAAAATTTATTAGTTAATTTTTTTTTTTAGAGATACCCCACACGTTGTATGACACTCCTTTCACATTGTTGCATGCAGCTAATAGACCACACGCACATCCGTTTTAAATTGGATTCAACAGAATAAAATTAAAAAAAAACTCTTGTTTTCTTATCTGGAAATGGGAAAATACTAAAGACACAAATGGAAATTGCTGAAAAACTTTTAGGGCGAAAGGATTGATCCGCATTTGCATAATTAAATTTCGTCACGGAGGCTGCGAATTGGCACAACGAAAGAGAGAGTAATACTCTTTTTATTATTATTTTGTTTTGTTTTTGGCATCAATCTTTGGAATGTGTGGTATTCGTTGCCGCATTCTTGATGAGGAATAAGAAGCCGTTAATACATCGATACATAATTCATTCATTACGACATCTTTTTCCTAATAATTAGAGAGACGTGGTCGTGTCGAATTTATTTGTGGACAGTTAATTACTTAAAGTAAATAAAGATCGAGTAACATTCTTCCGTATTTCCTTCTTCTTCTTCTTTTTTTTTTCCTTCTCCTCCATGGGATATCACGTTTCAAAAGTTTAAATTTATTCATGGAAAGTAAATTGCTTGATTGGACTCTAATATTCCTTCCTTCACGTTGCTTCACTTTCAAATAAAGTAGAAGGAAAGACTATATATGTATATACAAAACCAGTAAAGAAACAATTAGTTCTTATTTTTAAATATCCACTATTAAAATATTTATTATGTATTTTGATGAAATACATATTTTAATAATACAATTAAAAAGTTATAAATCTTCTAAAGAAAAAAAAATATTAATTTTTAAATAGAAGAAAGTCGATGTTTCTTTTACAATTAATAATAATGTTGTTGAAATCTTATATCTTTTTTTTGTATTATATAATTACATTACTTTTGTAGGTGTTAAACTGAATAATTTAGTTGTTTCAATTAAATTTTAAAAATTAAATAAATCAATTAAAATTTTATTGCTGCATTTTTGTTTTAATAATTACATTATTTTATGTGTTAAATCGAAAAATTTAGTATTTAGTAGGAAACTTTAATTATAATTAGAAAGTTTGTATTATTAAAATAAATTAATCAAAAAAAACCTGTTAAAATGATTATTTGGAAGATTTTGGATATTTCTAAATAAACAGAAAATAGTAGATTTGTATGTATTGTTGTAATTTGTATGTTAATAAGTATGGTATCTGGTAAAGAATGATTCTTAAATAACATTTGTTTTTGTAAGTTGATAGCTTGAAAATTATAGGTGTTTCTCTAGTTTTGAGTGGAGAGGAAATAAATAGGTGAGACGCGTGGGTGTAAAGAATAATAACGAGTTTCGTCATTGGTGCTGCGTGTGCTTAGACCTATTATTAACAGGTTGTTCTTTTATGACACATAATCATTGGGAGATATCGTTTGGTCATTTGCATCTCGTTACGAGGTGCGAGCAGAGAAAGTTTACCACTCTGGTTAAATATAATGTGATGGATGCAGTTGCATCGGATGCTATGATCTGTATTCTGTCGATGCAGAAATCCGATGCGATCTTGACACCAGCCGGTTGGAACGCGAGGTCATAGTCAAGTTCAAGGACCAGCTTTCTCCATCGCTGCACCTTGCCGCAACGCGTTTACATTAGTTGGTAACGAAAGGAGTATTCGAACAGCCGCCATCACCCCCCCAAATCACATGCACCCTAGCAAATAAAAATAAAATTGAAACAAACAAAATATACGGGGATTTGCAACCTGCAGCGTCGTGTTGATGTTCCATCATCTGCTGTTTGCGTTCGCTGCAGACGACTACAAACGCATAGGACTAGGGGGAATTAATTGCGTTTTCGAATCATGGACGGCGGCAGCAGTAATTATAGTTGTCGGGCCGGGTTAACTTTTCTTGCCTGCCTGATCGGATTGTCCGGCGTATTTATCGCCGCCCGCGGCTTCAATTGTTGATTTATCCCCTGTCGGTTTGTTATATAACCATTTCCGAGAGTACCACTTATTGCTTTTCCTCGATTGGATTCATTGCATATTTTACGATTCAACCGTCTTATTTATGTGTAATCAATCGTGTTTCTTAATTACGTTTCAATCCTGCAAGAAGATTTATAGAATTTAATGCTACATCCGCTCTACTTGATATCAAACATTAATAACTGACAGGTGTATCATGTACTATGTAACATATTTGAAAACTCAGTTTCAGAGTCATAGCTAACCAATTACAGCTCATATCATTTATTATTTGAATAATATTTTTTTATTACATTTTAATACATTACTTAAATTAATGAAGGAATGTTACTTGTTCATCTACGTTAAGTAATTTGTGTTAAAAGTAAACTTTATTCTTAAAGTATGCTTTAGATATTATTAAAAATGTATAATAACTTAATGTGATGTGATGTGAAAATGTAATATTGTACACGAATATCATTCAATTTGGTTTGATGTCTTCGGTATGAAAACTGTCGCCTTGCCGATTGAAACGTGCAATTCAATCGAGCGAAGAGCGCATGTTTTCTTCATTGCTCGACAATGCAATTATAATTGTGGAATGCTCCGTGATGGAAGATGCCGTCTCGTGGCATCGACATTGATGGATCGAGCCGTTCTCCCGGAGGTTTCTATTTTCAAGGATAAATGCGGATTCGTTCAGTTCATTGATAATCTCTCCGGAAGAAATGAAAACAAACCAAAAAATAAATAACCAAAATAAAAATAAAAACGATTGCACAGACAGAAACTGTTCTAAAGGAAGTAGAGAAGGATGAAGAAGAAGAAGAAGAAAAAAAGGGTGAAACAGAAGTGAACACGATCACGTATTACGTAATTTTCGTTCCCCCTTGTCACCGTGACGCCATTAAGACCGCAGCGCAGCCAACATCCATGTCGTTACGGTCTTTTTTTTTACATTTTCCAAATTGCATCTACGGGAATGTTTCAATTAAATTCCATTGTATCCGGCGGCGAGCGGTAGGAGCGGCAGGACGAAGCGGCGGCCCGCAGGACGACGTGCGTTTATTAATTAGTTTAATTACCCGACGCCGTTTTGGTTTTCGGCGCGTCGACGCTGCCGCCTCCACCTCCACCTCCGCCGCCACTGCCGTCCCCCGTAATTGTTGCAGCGTGTTGCACGCGTGTCTCGCCTACCGTAAATAATCGGATTAGCGGATTTACACGCGGCACGATTAATTGTAAGTAATGCATAATTGCGTAATGCCGCGGTTGTTGCTGCCGCGCACCGTTGATCCTGTAATCCGCATTAGCGTGCGATCCTGGAGGAGTTTTCGCTCGTCCGGAATACCGCATCATCTTTGTAACATTGCGTTACGCAAATCCATTACGCAATACTCGCCAATTACTTGCTACTATTAGTATCTATCTTTAGATCATAGATCTTTCCATCGCCAATAAATGTAATTGAATGCTTACATTTCGGATTCTTGTAAAAGTGTAATATTACTAATTGACTATAAAATTTTGGTCGAATCAAATTGAGAAAGCTTTGTAAGACAATAGCTACGCAATCTGAAATCGCGTGATGGGAATCTCATTTGGAAATTATATTCCCAAAAAAAATAAACACCATTGTCTTACAAATGATCAATGGTTCAGAGCTCAACAAATCTATTAATTATTTAACCAATTAATAATAATAATATAGCTTTTTTTTTATATTTACTATATACAATTTTGTATATATTTCAAACTAAAAGAACTTTAATTTAAAAAAAAATTACTAAAAATGGGATACATGATAAATTGAGTAGTTTTCTTTTACTAATAAGTCTATTGTTCTTAAATTACGTTTACGCTCTATTTGGATTCGATTACATTAAGAATTACTGTTCTATCCAGTAGTAAATAAACGAGCTTGTCAATTATGATTTGAATGTGAGTCACGAATTGGATAAACCAAAACTGATGCATTTTCCGCAAATGCAATTGCGAAACAATGAAATATTTAGCAGGGAAGCCGAGCCCAGATGGACGAGACGGATTTCACTTTGCATGACTAAACTCTAGAATCCAGTTCCTTTGAATGTTAATTCGCGGAGCCAGAGAAATCCGCGAGCGCGTGAGGAAATGCCCAATCGTCGCCGTATTCCGGATATTTACGTAATCACTTTCGTTGAAACAATGTGCCTAGATGACGGGAGACGCAAAATATGCGTGTATCAGATGTAGTATCAATGGCACGAACCATCCTTCCTTTTTCATTCGATCCTTTCATCTCACCGTGAGCTTCGAATCCTTCTATTTCCATTTTTTTGTTCTCTCCTTCTTCCACCAAGAAAAAAGTCTTCTCTTTTCTCTCATTTTATTCTAATTCATGAACGCATCACACGCCGACGTGATACTTAAAAACTCTCGCATCTACTTTCTTCCAATATCCTACTTTCTCTCTTCTGTTTGGCCTCTCTTCGCCTTTATCTTACTGCCCGAGCGCACGAATCCCTACCTTGGGCGCAATCCAAGAAGTGGGGAACCTCTTCTTCATCATCAAATACTGCTCATATATAATAAGCATCTCCTTACAGCGCAATTATTTTTCGAAAAGACCGCGGCATGGCTGCACGGTAGACACAGATAAATTTCATTTACCAAAAAAAATAATTTATATAGTAGAAGAAACTAGTAGTAGAAGAGTTGCAGTGATTTGTAGTTTAGGTTCTGTAATCAGTGAGTGTGCTTGCTTTTTAAGGATACCTATCAGTTTGGATTTCAGCCATGCGGATACAACAGGTTAGTACATACGTTTTGTACTTATTCTCTCCATTATTTTACCTTTCGTGACTAACTGCAGGATTGGATTCTCTTAGCCCTACGGTTAGTTCAGTATTCGCATTCAATTAGTGCCGTGATCGCATTACGATCGAGATTTGTAATATACACACAAACATATATATGTATATATATATATAACACATGTTATATATATCATCAGTTGTAGCTTTCATAATAACTAATTGGCAACGGAAATGCATTAACTGTGTTTGTGTGCGGCTGAATCCACTATATAAGGTATCCCCAATGCAGATTATCCATTATTTGACACATATGCATTGCATACACTATTAATGTACAGCCAACTTCTCTCCAGCGATATAACATGTCTGTTTGAATTATTCTCCATTAGCCTCAACCTGCGCATGTATACTATATTTATATATGCATTTATTTCCGTTGCATGCAATGAATATTAGCTAACATTTCCTCACTTTGTTTGCAGACGTTTATTGCACTCCTGTGTGCCTTATTGGCATCGCAACAAATCGACGCTGTTGTTAACAATGGCCAAACGAGCGCAGCCTCCGAATCTGAAACGAAGAGCAGCAGTACGAGTAGCGATGCGAACGTCGAGAGTAGCAGCACCACGCAAGTAACAGACTCTGTAGCAGCTAGCTCGGAAAAGGAAGCTAACAGAAGGGAAGCTCCTCTGCAAGGGCTCTACAATATACAACTGCCTCACGAAACCTATGGACCACCTCAGGACTCCTATCTGCCACCAGCGCCTAGTAATCCAGGTCTACCAGCACCAGTCTACGGAGTACCAGATTCTCCAGTTAAGAATATCGTTTATCCTGGACCACCCCCAGATATTCTTCCAGCTTTACCCAACAATTTCCTCGGACCAAAGGCTTTATACGGACCTCCACAGAAATACGGCGCACCTTTCCCGAAACCACCTAAACCCTTCAATCCTCTGTACAATAAACCTAAACCATTCTACGGACCACCACTCAGGCATCCATTCGGTCCCCTTAAGCATCACTTCAAACCGAAACCTTTCTACGGACCTCCAAAGTCGATCTACGGACCACCTCCTAAACCCTTCCATGGCCCACCACCGAAGATCAATTATGGTCCACCTTTGAAGATTCAACAACACCAGATTATTCAAAATCAACATCAACATCATTTCCATCAACAACATCAATTCCAACAACAGCAGCTGCAACATCAATTCCAGCAGAATCAGCAACAAACCTTCTTTAATTTACCAAATTTCCAAAACATTCCTAATCCACCGCAGAAAATTCAATTGCCCCAACCAATAAACAAGGAAGTGTATGGACCACCAAAAACAAATTATGGACCTCCAGAGCCAATCCCGCATGGACCACCTCATCCAGGTATACCAGCTCCACCAACTCCTCCAGAGATTAAATATGATGGATGGCAACCAATTCCTGGATTGATTTCAAAACCACCAACGAAACAATATGGACCACCCACAAGCTCATACGAAGTTTTGAACCAAGGAAACTCTGAACTGCACCTACACAATGACGTTATTCCGCCACCGTTGACTACCAGTCATGGTGTCTCATCTCTGAGCTTGGGATCATCGTATGGTTCTTCTGCTGGTATTAGCGATTCTTATGGAGCACCTTTGAATACGGTGACTGGATCAGGTGGAATTGTTAGTTCATCAGGAGATGCTCATATCCAAAACCAAGATCAAAATACTATTTCCTTGGGATTATCGGCCGCCGGTTTGGGAGGATCTCATGAAAATCATTTGTCACTAATCAAGAGCATTGGCTACGAAATATTCCCTCATGGAGGACACATAAAAGGTGGACAAATTCATAACGAACAATTCAATGGAGGACAGATTCATAGCGAACAATTCAATGCTGGACAAATCCACAGCTCACAATTTAATGCTGGACAAATTCACAGCGGACAATTTAATGCTGGACAAGTTCATAGCTCACAATTCAATGGAGGACAGATTCATAATTCACAATTCAATGGTGGACAAATTCACAATTCACAATTTAATGGACAAATTCACAATTCACAATTTAATGGACACAGTCACAATTCACAATTTAATGGACAAGTACACAGCAGTAAAAATCATGAAGGGCAATTCAATGTACACGAAGGACAATTTAATGGTGGACAAATCCATGATAACCAATTTCAACAAGGCCAATTTAATGGAGATATTCACATAGGAGGAAGTCAAATTCACAGTGGTGATTCTTATTCTGCGCCACCACTCAATAGTTTCTCAGGAAATGGTCCTTACGCAGCGTCACATTCCTACCATAATCACGGTCTTTCATCAGCTTCTTCTTCATCGTCATCATCGTCGTTCGGCTCCAACTTCCAAACCGGTTTCGATAAAGGTTTATCGCTTTCCTCTAGTGGTATTGGTTTGATACCACCAAGCGGCGTTTACGGCGTGCCACCTGCTGGAAGTTACGGAACACCTTTGATCAATCATAAGCTGAATGCTTTGGATTTGAATCCACCAAAAAGACCAGTAGTTTTCAGGGAACCAGTACCAAACGGTCTCCTTCAATCCATCGGCCATAGCGTTGCTCAGAAAGATGTTGCCGGAATCATCGAATCATCTCATTCTTCTGATTTCAGTGGACCCACTTACATCCCACCACCAATCCCGGAATTAGCTAAAGACGAGCCTCGAGCACCTTCCACATTCTTCAGCCTTCCTCAAGTAAACAATCCAACTTCGTTCCAGACAGTTAACAAGCATCATGGTGGATACCACGGTGCACATTCTACTGCGTCGCACAGCTTCGCTGCATCGCTTGGATCTGTTGATACATCTTCCTTCGAAGTTCCACAACCTCAATTACACAACATTCACGGTCACGGTCATGGCCATGCTCTTGGTCACGGTAATGGACTTACCGTGAGCTTGGACCACTCTCTTCCACCAGTCACCATTGACTTGACGCATGGCAATGGAAATTCGTTTGGTTCCGATGTCAAATATGACTGCACTTCGCACAATTCACAACCATTACCACCTCTGCCTTCTCTGACTTATGGAGTGCCTTCTGCAAGCAGTTACACAGCATCGCTCTCTTCTCTGACTACAAATATTGGCAACTCCCAGTATCCTTCTTTCTCTTATGGATCACAAGATTCGCAGACCGCTCACTCTCAACAGAAATCCGTCCATAACGAAATTAGCATCAATAGCGTTGAAGAATCGAGTAAAGAGCATTATGGTAAATCTTTAGCTGAATCTTTTGCTCCTGGAGGTGAAGTTATAAAATCTGAGAGCATTGATTTAAACAACATTCCAGTCCAAGGTGCGTTAGGTTCATACACCCTTCAGATCCAAGCAGCTGATGGTGCTGCTGGTACCAATCCGTCCTCAATTAATGTTCCTCACCATCAACTCTTGAGCGATGGATTATTGCAATCCATCATTGACGCCATCGAACCTTCTCAGCATAAGCCTGCCACTATCTATGGACAACCTCTTATCGTGCAACCTGATATCAGCAGTAGCCTGCAATTGCCATCCTCAGATGTTCATTTACAGTTCAGGACTAGCACCGACGATGATGCCCAGCAATCTATCAAGAGCCAGGTAGTAGTCACTGCTCCTGTCACCGATGAAACTTTGACGACCGAACCGCAAAATACTGACAGCCCGTTACAACTGATCGATGACAACGAGATTGCATTGTACTTCAACGCCAATGCAAAGGAAGCCAAAGACCAGGAGAAGAAAATCGAAACAAGTGAAAGTTTAGAAGTTAGGAACGGCCAACAGTATGGTAGTTACGAACCACAGAAAACAAGCTACGCTTAGGACGTAGCCACTTCTATCCGATATTAGTGCTCAAGACTTTTTTTTATATTACTAGTATAGAACTTTATAGTTTGCATGTGTGAAACTACTATTTAAAATATTTATGGCTCCATTTTTTTTTGTAATTTCAGAATTATTTAATTATTTAAGAATTTAATTTATTGTACTAAACAAAATAAAAAGGAAATATTTATGAAATCTTATGTACAAAATAAAAGATATTTTATAGAAATCGAGTTTGTTTTTATTTAAAAATTCTTTCTTTATTAATTATTTTTCTTCTTCTGTTTTCGGTGAAAACTTCAATTAACGAAACAATCGTATAAGAGTTATTGGGGTTAATGGTATTCTCTCACTATTAATTCTTCTTTTCTTTAGAATGATGTTAGTGAAGAAAGGAATAGAAAAGAGTGGCGCGCTTTAAACAAAAGATGATCCACGGTAATTGAGTCTTCACGATGCGTCGGTGCACACCGAAACAAGTCTACAATATTATTACACATTATTTATGATTCGAAAATTTCCAATTCTAGTTCGGCCGAAGAAACCGCGTGAGATCAATTTTCGTGAGAGTAGACCTTGAAATAAATTAATTACAGAGAGCACGCGGTGAAAGTCTGTAGGTCAACAGACTTACACACAGCCACATCCAATAGTCTCCAACCGGCGTTTGGTGAAAGACGCCAAGATGACTTACACGTTCGAGAATTATCTTAAGAGATATATGATCATAGGAATCTTTCCATTTCACCACACAACCAGAGACGTTTCATTCCTTCCCAACCATAAGATTTTTTTTTTTATTACAACTTGCATCTGCTTTTCTCTCTCAATTACCTGGCCATCTTAATCAGGCATTCCATGCATGATCATTCGTGAAACTTTCCGGAACTTAGACTTAACCGAAAGAGTTTAATAATTTTAACAAACTAAATCGACGCCGCACGATAAATTTTAATCTATCCACAACTGTAATTAAGTTTGCTTTGGGCTTAAAATTTGCGGCGATTGTGCGCTACTTAATCACGAGCCAACTTTCCTAAGTAGACACTTTGTATGTACCCTGACGATATGTAAATAACGCGCGAAAATGGTGCTTCATTAGCTCGGTTACAACGGGCAAAGATTGCATCTCCAAAACTTCGATTATTTTTACAAAAAAAAAAAAAACCATGTCAAACCTAACCAAAATTACTGTTCACTTTTCCATCCAAAAATTTAGTTATAAAAAAAAAATTAAACACATTGAAAGTGAACAAATCGGAATTCCATTTCGTTTCGCTCCATCTAATACATTCTCTTCTTCGCATCCAGTCAACTTCTCTATTTTTTTTTTGTAATGCTCTCAGCTCTCGCTTAACTTAATTAATCCCAGGCATTACGCCGAAAATCATTATTTTCGAGCTTTCGCTGCATAAAACATCTTGTTATCACATCACAAGTGCTTCATTCCTTCCTTCTATGTTTCCCCTCTCTTCCTCTCTCCTCATCTTCATCTTCGTTTATCTCCTCCCTATTTAACGGCCTCCGTAATTTCCGCTTAATTCGTAAAACATGTTAATGCGACTGCATTCCGTCGTAACCGACTCGTTTTGTTCATCGAGGAGAAAGTTTAATAATAATGATAATCATAATAATATGATTCACATCAATACATCACAATAGGTTTGTTTGTTTATTTGTTTACTTGTCCAACAATGAGAAAGTTCTTTTGAGATGAACAAAAAAACAAAATCATTGAGATTTTTATTATAAACATAATGCGAATCGCTGTTAATTGCAATTGGATCTCGATGGATATCGTTTTTACTTCGTCGACAATTGCCCCCGGGGCATGCGTTAATGGAGGCGGTAAACTCTCAAGTTTAATATAGTGCCCAGTTTAACGAGGTTCCACTGGGGGCGGCAGTGGCATTAAAATTGTACAACGCTGCGTGGCATTCGGATTGATTGTATTCAAAATGGTTGCCCAAGAGAGTAATTGGCTTTGAATTGAAGAATGCCACTAATGTACACAGATATAAAATGTAATTGCCGATCTACGAATTGCTTTATTACTTCAACTATATAACTACTATTATTTTGCAATTTATTTTTTTATGTAAATTTAACGAGTATCCACATACATTAGTGTCATTTCAAAGTTGACTTGCATCATTCTGAGAAAATCTAACACTAATTGGTCAAAATTATTATTATTACTACAGTTACAAATTATGTTTAAAAAATATAGTGACCAATTCTCATGTTAGTCATCGTCTGAAGATTCATTACAAAGGAATTTGATACGGTGAAATAAACACTTTTACTCAGGCGAGAAGTTTCGAGTAAGCTATTAACTCAATGCAATTTAAATGTCATATAGTTTTTTTTTTATAAATTATGAGAAATCTACAATATAATTAATTAAGTTTTTCCAAGTAAAATATCAAAAAAAAAAATCAATTTTTCTAATATTTCAAATTTCTTACGAAAAGAGAAAAAAAGAGTAATTAAATGAAGCATGATAATAATTTAAAGAAATCGTCATATCTTTATCTATAATTTATATAACTTAAAAATAAATATATGTAAAAGATACCTCCTGTTTTAATAAATTATTTATAAAGTTTTACAATTATTGAATTGAAATTATCATTTTTAAAAAGTTCGATTTATAAAATGCCATGTTATAAAATGTCATCAAGTTCATCTAAATATTAATGTAAATAGTTAAATTAAGTAGTGAAGACATTAAAACAAATTATGTAAGAGATAATTTTATCAAAATTTGTAGAATTTATTATATTCTCTGATGTAATTATATAATTCATAATAAGTTTTGCACTATTCAAAATTTATTCGAACGGGAAATATTATTAATATTATATTCCGTTTTGAAAAATCGATTGTTTTACATAAATAATAATTTCCAATTAAAAAAAAACAAATTTTTATATGAATTGACAAAATGTTATAGCTTATTACAAGGAAATAATTAACATAAAATATTTTGTAGTAGACTAATAAAGGTTCTCGAAAAAATACTTAAAAAAATTACGTTTTTTTTGTTTTGTTAATAATGTAAATGATTGTTAGAGAATTACGTAAGAGATTATATAGTGCTTGTATATAATAAATTGCATAAAATTCGTGCAAACAAATAATAATTGTAATAATACAATGAAATAGAATATTCAATGTAATCGCTGTAATCTACTTTTCCGCTTAACTATATATTTATGGCCATAATAAAATAGATAATAGGTCCGGTTCAATTAAAATGCATTTTTAATTAAAAATGCCAATTATTATTTAGTAATATATTTATACGAGCGTGTATATAAATAAATATATAAATGTATAATTGCGAATAACATTGAGGGCGGGCGACTGGAGAAGAAAACAAAACAAAAACAAGCAAATAAAATAAAATCAATTGAATAGAATCGAAATTATAAAATGGCTCCGGCACCCCCCCAAAAAACGAACGCAACTTTATTAACAAAATCCGCATTGAAAACGGCCGGTGCGGAATAATTATTAATATTTGAATTAAATAATTAATTAAAATTTGCTCTTCGCCAGATTTTGTTACGCAAATAACCAAAATATCAAAAGTAAATAATAAATAGAGAACGAATTTTGTGAGCGAAAAGTACAAAAATAATAATAATAATAAATAAAGAGGGCCACTAATGGTTAAGTCGCCCTATCCAGGATTTCGTGGGCGCAGGTTCGAATCCTGGTCAAGCCAAGTCCTTTGTCCAAGTCCTTTATGACCAAATGAATGAGGTTCAGCATATGGACCTTCTGCCAAGTCGATGGACAATGATAGTGTTAAGGATGGGTCGATATAGTCGGAATTTTGATTGTCGGGATTATGGTAGTCAGGATTTCGATATAGTCGGGATTTTGACATAGTCGGGATTTCAATACACTCGAGATTTCGGACGTCGGGATTTTGATAGACGGGATTTCGGTTGTCGGGCTTGCGATTGCCACCGGTTAAGGATAGCATCAGATTCACAGTCAAAAGGAAATAGTGGAATCGCAGAGCATCAATATAAAACAAATTAAATTATACGACATAAAAAAATAAATAAATACAATAGACAAAACAAATAAAGGTTATGAAATAAATAAATAGGAAACACCTGTAATCGTATTACGGCTTTAATGTGACGAGCATTCATTAACTCTCTGCACGGTAAAGCGGTTAATAACTCTCTGAATAATAATTGTTTCATCGTTCGCGTTTTGTGTAAAGTTCGGAGTAGCGAGAGTAAGCAGCTTATTTACGGTTTCAAATTAGCATCGAGGTGGAATTATTAAAATAAAAAAAAATGAAGTAGATGTACGTTAATTCCTCGTGCCAAACAACAACAACAACAACAAGACAAGGAAAACCGAGCAACACGCAGTTTGGAATAAATTAACGTCTTACATAATTAACGTCCCTACGGATCATCTACGATCGATGATGCATCGTTCAATTGGTGCACGCTTACATAATTATATGAAGCGTTCGCGTTATACAATCACATGTTAATTTATTATGCCGCAATCGCATTATGCCTGACATGAGACATAATTATCAATCAAACGTACTGATTCTTAAGTGGTCATCATACTTAATGACCTAATTTAATAGGTGTATCAACTGACAGTCAAGTATAGGTATCCCCCGACTTACGAACTCCCGGACTAACGAACAAAATTCGAAAAGCTCTAACTTGTTACAAGGATAAAAAAAATTAACTGTCCAAACAAATATTAATAATTTCTTTAATAAAATATAATATGCACTATCTGTTTTGTTGCATATCTTTCTTTTGTCGTTTTTTATTAAACAATTGTGATATCTACATTACGTATGTATAAGTAAATATTTTGTTTATTTTAATCTATTTTTTCAAATTTGTCCAATCAGTAATACGTATACATATATATAGACATTTTTAAAATTCCCCCCACTTACGAACAAATTCGATTTACAAACAACCCTTATGTGTATATCAAGGGACAGTAAGGTATCTCAAATGACAGATGTTTCAATTGACAGTTGATACTTGTCATTGAAATATTTAAAAATCA